CTTTGCCTTCCGCAGCATCTGCTCCGCAAATCCCATTATGGTGGTGAAATGGTCGCTGGTGTAAGTGAACTGGTCCGGGTGGATCTGGAGCATGGCAACATCTTCCAGGATCACCTGAGCAGCAGGAAAGACAAGTAGGTCATGAACACAAAACTCCTTTTCGTCTGAATGATAAACAAACAGTACTTTATCCTCAGAGGTAGCAAGGGAGAACTAATTCACATGTCTTACCTTCTCAAAGTCTTCCTTTTCCTTCTCGGGGTTGGTGTCGTCGAAGCGCATGATGAGCTTGCCTTTGAATGTGATCTGATAGTGCTGGTTGAGCAGAGCAGCCTTGGCGTGGCCAATGTGCAGGTATCTGGCCACAGACGGATAGAAAATTGGTCACTGTTAATAAAGTTGTTAAGTCACCATGGAGAAGATAAATCTCTCCTAAACTCCCAATCAAAACGTACCCACTGGCCTCCGGAGGGAATCGAACCACCACTTTGCCCATCTCAGCCCCTGGCAAATCCACAAACTTCCCAACATCTTGCTTCTTGTCATCCGACTGTCAATCAGGGACAAAAAGCATCAAAGTGAGTTTCAGTGAGGTACAACAAAGAGTTGATGTGATTCAACAGATCTCAAACGTAATAAATCCACCAATGAATCTGAGAGGATTGAGGGAGTTTTTTTTAAATTGAAATTATAGATTCACTCACTACAAGATAAGAGCTTGTATTGCCCTAATAGAAAAACATGCTCAATATTTTCCTCCAGTACAGTGAGCATAACTACTCCAGGTTAGTCCTACTTGGCTTCAACAGGATTCACCCTTTCTGCAAATACGTTGATTCAAGAAATCACTCAATGATGACCAAAATAACACTTACGCTGGATTTGCTTAATGGAGCTTTTTTACTGGCATACTTGTTTCCCACAGCGGTGAAGGGAACCTGCGTGCTCAGGAAAGAGAACCAGCGATTGACGTGGGCGAAGGATTCGCCCTGGCTTGGCCATCCTGCATGACCTGCAGAGAAACAACCACAATCTGTAGTCAGTGTTTCCCACAGATATCACACAAATGTGTGGCGGCTGACGGGGGAAGTGTTTTAATATTAATTTGTAAGACAGAACTTTATTGGAGTAAATAGAAAACAGGGATTCACGCCTATACAAACGTCGTACTAAATGCGGCAAGTCTGCAACTTCTGTCAGAGCAATGCATTTTGCGGGGCCATCTAAAAAAAGACACGCGAGGCAGGCGCGGTATGCACAGAGGGGAGGGGCTGTGTGTGTGTGTGTGTGTGTGTGTGTGTGAGAGACGTGTGAGTAAGACAGAGGGAGAGCAGGGAAAGGAAATACAGCTGAACGAATACGCTGCAAGATTTAAATGGCGTTAAAAAAAAATAAAAAACACACCAAACGCAATATGTGGCGCCAGGTGTTGAATCTGTGGCGCACTGCCACAAATTAGCATATGTGTGGGAGACACTGGTAGTGCTTCATTCCTCCGTTAAAGCTTGAGGCGGTAAACGTTAAAATAGATAAGGATCTAAACTGGTACATTTTGTACGGTCTACTTACCTTTCAGGGCGGCCCAGACGGACAAGTCAGCCAGGGTGAGGGAATGTCCAACCAGGAAGGTCCGCAGGGAAAGGGCCTTATGCAACTCCCCCAGTGCTTTGCTCAAGATGATCGGACCACACAGACAGCGAGCACTGAACTCCAACCAGTGGTCGACCTGCAGGCAGCAGACAGGATCTCAAATGAGGGAAAAAGAGCCCCAAACAGATCAGAAAACTTAACATGCACGAACACACACCTCAGTCTGCTCCATCATGTTGGCTCCGTAGAGGCCAAGAGCGGGAGCCACCCGGGCCAAGTACCGACTGATAGAGTTCACATCATTGAACTGGAGAGAACTGGGAGAGGGAAAGGACACACAAACTCACGATAAATGACAGAACATCAAATTTGCACAACTTTTGCAGTACGCCGTTGAACATCATTGAGAAACGTGGAGGAGGCCATTACGTCACCTACTCTGAGACGTGAAGCTGTGTGTCTTTGCCTTCCTCCACCGAAACCTGCACAACGCCCTTCACATGCTCTGCGGTCAGCAGTGCTCCTGCAGGACAGAGGAGGTTAATTTAGTGTGTAGTTTGTTGCGAGTCTGTGTAAACATGGCAGGGCAGCCTCAACCAGCAGCAGTCAACCTTGTTCAGACAATATAGAGGAGTTATGTCAAAGGCAACTGGACCTGCTTTGGAAGTTTTACCAGGTAATGTTTCAACGCGCTTGCATCAGCCTGCTGTTTTCACCAGGGACGCGCGGGGCGCTGTTCAGCAGCTGTCACTTGTGACACATATACATATAATATATATACGTTTATACTTGTGTTATTTACAAGTACGTTTAGACTTTGTGTCCGTCGTTGCTTTACATTATGTCCATATGCATCCCACGACGAAAGTGGAAACAGTTAACGTCTCTGAAATGGCATGTTAACAACCGGTCCACATGTTGTTGTGCCACGACGGCAGCTTGGCTGACGTTAGCTTTGGAGCTAACTTAACGTTAGTGCAGCGATCTGTCATTAGCTAGCTTTAGAGCTACTGCTGCGTTCAGTCTTTAGCTAGCTGACGCCCGAGTGAACTTGTATGGACGTAAAACAACACTGGTTGTAATTGCTATGGGGCCAGCAGTGCGCAGGCGACACTTATCTGCAAAATAATAAGCATGGCTGCTTATCAGGCGGATATCAAGGTGCTAACACCGGGTATCTGTTCAGCTGTATGCCATAAAATAATTACAAACAAAACAAACTTAACGCTAATTCTGTAATAATGTATTTTAGATCAAACAAATAGTCAAACAAATCGTAATGACCAAGTTAGTCCAGAGTATTTAACTTCCTTGGACACAGCCATGTATATTGTTATGATATGCGGAAAAGATTAAACAGAAAGTGTGTCGGGTCTTAAGGGTGACACCTAGCCGCGCTAGCTAACTGCTAGCAAGCCATCCTTCCAAGAAGCATTCATTCAGGGCCCGCAGGCTGCTACTCACCCAGAGGCGGATTGCTCGCGTTGATTGTGAGGTTTAACGCCATCATGTGAAATCCTTCTTCCACAAAGGTGCACTGCTTCAGACACCGAGGAGCACGCTAGCCCAACAAGAACCACACGGCGGCGTGGAAGAGAGAAGAAGAGCTACGACGAGCTGGTGATCAATACCGCCGCCAACTGTTCAGGAGGACGAACAGCCACAGAATACAGGCAAATCAATAGAGGGGTTCTGCACACGCCTGGCTGAGACGGCGGCTCCATGCGCTGAGATAATGACAATAAGCTGGATGGACTGCGTCGGAAGAGAGGTGAAGGATTCTGTGAAAGAGGAGCAGTTCCCTCTGAGACACAATCACGTGTTGGGGTTGTGTTTGTACTGAAGAGTGACTCACAAAAGATAACCTGGGGTTCAATACAAGATTCATTTAAAACGGCATTGTCGTCGTGTCCACATTTGTTTGCGTTTTGTGTAGTTTTTGTTTCACAGATGGCAAATTATTTTAGAAATTGTAGGATAGTAGAAACAAATATAAGACCCGGTTCATAAAATTAATAACAATGCATATAGTGTACACCAGAATACAGCCATGATTCTGAAACTGTGTAATCAATAAAGTAATGACAATTTTGTAAAACCACTGTAATTCTGCAACTGTAATAGAATAACATCAATGTACAGTTATGATTGTATTTAATGTAATGTAATCAACCTGAATGCATGCATGTAATACTTGAACAACAACTGATATTGACTAAGGGTCATTCGAAATCCGAGTTACATTGAACTCACCAGAAGACCCCTCCCAGAGGAGTGGACACTAACTTTCACACCTTTAAGCATTGTTATAAATTCCTGTAGACAACCATCATTCTGGAGTTCGCTGGTGGAGACGACAAACGGGCACTATGGGGGGTCAAAGGACTGACCTGGGGCCTGTTGGTTGCTGATACCAGCGGCTCCTCAGCTGAGATGTTCTTTTTACCACAACACCATCTCTTTTATTAAATACATTTGATTTAACCTTTTGATCAGCGATGACCTCTGTCCGTCCGGCGTTTATTCATTTTTGAACACAACAAAATCCATTAATCTGTTTTCAGAGCGACGCAGACGCAACCCATTTTTCTAGACTTGCAAGCGACGCAAGCCTCCCACACAAGGCTGCGATTGGTCTGCTAACTACATCCTTTACGAAGTCTCACATTTCCGTTTTCATAGCGCAACACCGCCATTATTAAAACGAACAATGTTTACGAGAGAATGGATCAGATTGAAAACAGAATTAATGAAAACAAACGTCTCTATTCATGAACTGTCATTACTTATTGCTTAATAAACACATGTTCCCTCTTCCATGAAATACATATAACAAGATGTCTACAACAATGGTTGCAAATGAACCACACAAATCACATAAAATAAACTGCATTAAATACATCTGTAATAACCTAGATAAATGAAATAAACAGTTTAATATAATTAAATCTATGGTTTAAATACACGTATTCTGCCACCAACTGGTGGAGATATGAACACGTTTACTCTGCCTCTCGTTGGACTGTCTGCGTTCACTCAAGCAACACAATACGTGGAAAATAAATATCAGAGCCAAGAGCAATGAGTCTGTGACAATAAACCACTTTGATTGAACTACATTTTTAGCTATATTATTACCTACATTATCAACTATATTGCATCAAACAGTGAACCGATTTGAATGCGTATTGCTGTGTACATGGATGAATGAAAATACATCTGCATCACTGTAAAAAACAATCAAGGGGGTTTAACTTACAAACATAAGTTCAAAAGTTGCCTTACACTTTTGGGTAGAATCAAATTGGATTCACAATTTGGTACAACTCATTATGTTGTGTTTAACTCCGCTCTGGATTGATCTCTGTAAGTTCACATGACTATATAGTACATGTTTATTCAACTTAGCAACGTATGTTTAAAAGAAACTTAACTTATCATGCTTTGTGTTAACTAGGTCTAAGTAATTATTTCAACTCGCTTATTTTAGTTAAAATTACTTTCCTACTTAATTTTACTTAAAAGTATGCATTGTTTCAAATGACAATTTAGAGTTCTGAGAAACATCATGTCTTGTTGCAAAAAGCATATTTATTTCTCACATTAAAATGAATAGTTTTTACATTATAACATGCAGATATCTAACAACCTCTATACTGTATTTAAACAAAATATTCAGTGGAGTTAAAAAAAAAGGGAAGAAACCGTCAGAGCAGGGATCCCACTCCCGGGAAGGACAGACTACAATGGATGCCATGTGTACAGAATGAACAATGTATAATACATGCAATTCCTCTGACAGAAATGATTCAAGTAATTGTGAGTAGTAACCCAGGCGCACAGCAGGACCACTGCAGGGGCAACCACCATCAGATAGAACCACCATCCACAGAAGCCTGTGGGGAGGGAGAGCACAGAGACTTTAGGAGAGGGTAATGTTGGTTTATGAGTACAGTAATATGATTAATATTTAAAATAATAATGATTATGATGATGGCAGCAGAATCTGCCCCCCGGACTGAAAGTGGAAGCTGGTTCCACAAAACAGGAGGTTGATAACTGAAGGCTTTGGCCCCCATCCTACTTTTTAAAACTATAGGAACAACAAGTAGCCCAGCATCTATGGAGTGCAGGTACCTTGTAGGGCAATACGGTGTTACAAGCTCTTTAAATACGACGGTGCCTCACCAGCAAGTGCCTTGTGGGTGAGGAGAAGTACCTTAAAATCTATTCTTGATTTAACAGGGAGCCAGTGCAGAGAAGTTAATACATGAGTGATATGATCCCTTTTCTTAGTTCTTGTTAATACACGTGCTGCAGCATTCTGAATCAACTGGAGAGGCTTAAGAGATTTACAAGAGCAGCCTGATAATAAAGAATTACAGTAGTCAGTCTGGAAGTGACAAACGCATGAACTAATTTTTCTGCATCACTTTGAGACAGGAAGTTCCTGATTTTTGATATGTTACGTAGATGAAAAAAGGCAGTCCTTGAAGTCTTCTTTATATGCGAGTTGAAGGTCATATCCTGGTCGAAGAGAACTCCCAGATTCCTGACGGTGCTGCTGGGTACCAGAGCAATTCCATCCATAAAAACTGTATCACGTGACAGCTGGCTTCGAAGGCGCTCTAGGCCTATCAGGATAACTTCCGTTTTTTCTGAGTTTAGCATCAGGAAGTTGCCGGTCATCCAAGTTTTGATGTCTCCAAGACATTCTTGTCTAACTCGCTGGTTGGTCTCCTCTGGTTTGATCGACAGATACAGTTGAGTATCGTCTACATAACAATGGAAGTTTATGCAGTGTTTCCTGATAAGATCGGCCAGAGGAAGCATATAGAGGGTAAATAAAATCGGTCCAAGTACAGAACCTTGTGGGACTCCGTGACCGGGAAGGGTGCCGGGTCCGGCCGGGCCTGAGGGATCGGGAAACCGGGGGAGGGCCAGTGGCCGCAGGTCCGGCGGGGCCTGAGCCACAGACTGCTGCGGGGGCCTCGTTCGCGGCGCTGGGACTGGTCGTGCTACCACTGGCGGTTGATCGGTTTCCTCCTGCCAGCCGGGATGAACCCCCAGGTGGTCCACGGCCAGGCTGATGGCGGCCTCCAGTGTCGCAGGACAGTGGTATCGGACCCACGCCGACGTCTGGGATGGCAGACCCTCCAGGAGCTGCTCCACCACCGCCGGCGCTCTGCCCACGCTCCCCGGCTGCAGCCACTTGTTTGCCGCATCCTTCACCCGCGGGGCGAATGCGAACGGCCGGTCCCCTGGGCCGAGCCTAGCCTCTCGGAATGCCCTCCGGTGGTTTGAGGAGGACAGCCCTATCCGGTCCATGATCGCCCTCTTCACATCGGGCATAAGCGTGCCTGGCCCCGGGTGGCAGACCCAGGGCCGCCGTCTGCGCCGTTCCCTCACCGTGCTGCCCATCCATGTCCCCGATCGTCCCTGGTCAGGCGCCTCTGTAGCCGTGATGGAGCTACTACTGTCGGGTTTGTCAAAGGACGCACGGACACACGGGTCTACTTGGCAATATACTTTATTTTTCATTTGCAGTAAGCAGGTTTTGTGGCTTTGTTGCTCCGCTCCTCGGCCTTGCCCCTGAGCGTCTGCTCCAGTCTCTCTTCTCAAGTCCTGCTCACTGCTTTTACAGCAGACAATCAATCAGGATGTTGTTCACTGCTGTGCTTGTTAACTACCTGCCGTCACCGTTCCCTGAACCACTCCCCCGCTCTCCCCTCTGCAGCTGAGATAACCACACCCCGCCACCACAGTGCCTTTATCTACAGTTTCGGCATCTCCCACGGAATATAAAAACATGCCGCTTGCAAAAAAGCGCATTGCCATACAAACCGTCTGTGGCATGGTGAGAGACAAATTTTGGGACCCAGCACAAATAACTGATTCCATCTCCAGTAAATCTATACCTCTCATGCAGGTACTCGGCGGGAAAAGCTAAAGGGTCCAATCTGTCCCGAAATACCCTCTCACGTCTGAAAGCACGTCTCAATATTAATTGATGAATTAAGCTTCTTCATCCAAAGCGTTGTTCAGAAATGAGCATACCATGGTGCAGGAGGAAACGGAGATGAATGGGATTTTATATATCGCCCTCATCCCTGACTTCATTGAAATCAGTTCTTCATCCAGCATTTCTAACCATCTAAACAACTGCAATAGAAGGATTTAAAATCAAACTGGTGACAGCAAAAGTGACAAGTAATGCATGTTAATAAAAATAGCAGCTGATTTAACACATGAGACTCGCTTTGGAGCAGACTAGCTGCAAAGAATAAATCTCCATGGTTGCTTGGCTGGGTTTAATTCAACCTGCTTTCATGCAACCAAGTCAATATCCCGGCTTAATCCCCTGGTTTCATGCAATAGCTCTCTGGTAGCACTTTCTTGTCTTTTGAACCATTCTTAGTCTGGCCCCTCGCCTGAGATCACTTGGGTTACCCTGCCAGGAGCACACGACTCCTGACAAAACAGCCCTCAGGTTCATAGGAACACGCAAACCTCTCCACCACGATAAGGTGATGGTTCCCCAGAGAGGATATATACTTTTTTTTTTAAGTCAATTTGTCTAATATGTGAATTTATTGTATTTTTGTATAAGTGAATGTGTATGTGTTTGTTTATGTGTGTGTTATTGTTTATGTATAATTGAATCTATGTCTGATTGTTTATGTATGTGTGTTTGTTTGTGTG